CATGATTGAGATTTTTGGAGTTTATTTTAGTATAGTTTATATTTGAATAACAACTGTACATAAATAAAGATTGAACTTCTTAATATCATTCACATTTCTTGACTCACATGTCCAAACATAGCACCACAAATGTCAATTTTTTATGTCATGCTAATGAATAAACTTTTGTGTTTCAATTTTATTTTAGTTTTATTTACAAAGAATGATTCTACGCTCAAAATGATAAAATTCGCTTTGCTTCAATTTACCATCTATTTCTATGTTTCGAGTCATAAAAAAAAACTCCGTGAATACATAATTTGACGTAAGGTTTGTGCCATTTCAGGATTCGAGCTCAGATTCAAGATTTGATGCTTATTTAAAAAAATATGGTTGTTTATAGAAAAAAGAAGTAAACTTCGTTGCAAAGTTTCGATTTTTCAAATTAAATAATTTGTTTGAAAGGATGTTTCATATCTCACTGGCACTACAATTTATACATGCTATCATTATGGAAAGCTCATTTTTTTCCTACGCCTAACCATCCTAACATACCAAATTCTTTCATCCTTTTGCACAAAGTAGTGTCAACTGTAATCTGCAAAGAAAATACAATAGTTTTAATAGTGAAGTTTTATCTCCTTTAGACGGACTAAATTAAGCTTTGCAATTTTACTTACCTCGCAGACTTTTCTGAGTATGTCATTGTCAGTTGTACGAGGACACGCCTGCGTGTATACAAAAGTGGTGCAAACCTTTTCGATTTCGACGGTCAGTTGTTCGCATGCGTCACGTGTATCAAAAAGACCATTGACGTTTTTGTTCATAAAATTGGAAGTGACTTCAAATGCATCATGCGCACTTAGGCATCCGTCGTACATGAGTTTGTGACCCTAAAAGTTGATTCAGCTTTAACTATCGATGTTTTTTCACGCAGCAGGAGGTGAAATGGTTATTTTACTACTTACCAGTGACTTTGTATCATTGACGCCAACGGTAACGAAAAAATCTTTGCAAATACCGTCGGTTATGAATTTCTAAGTTTTCAATGCAAACAATAATAATTTTGATAATGTAACTGTTCAATCTAACAAATTAAATCTCCAACTTACTTTGCACAAGTCTTGGTAATCTTGACAGTAGGTTTCGATTTGGTTGCATCCATGGGTAAACATTGTATTTAAAGTCGAACTCAAAACTTCACAAAAAGCTTCAGCCGAGTCAGGCTTGTAGGTACCTCGACAAACTTCCTCCACTGTCGTGGAGATCTGATAACAAGGTGTTACAACATTAACTCTGAGATTTACAACAACAAAATTATTGTTATTCAAATTCATGTACCGAGTTTGGTTCGGCATATGTTTTTTTCAATAAAATGAAAAACAAAAGAACAGAAAAAACCCTCATTATGTTTTTTACTTGAAATAATTGAATTTGAAAACACGAGTGAATTATAGAAAATTGTTGGACTAAGTGCAACTTAGAACTGGAAATTCGAAACAAATATTTTGAAATTGATAAATCGTGACTTTTTTAGTCGGTTCATCGCGTTAAAATGAAATTACCCGAAATACTTTTTCCTTATAATCGACTCAATTATTATAGCTCTAAAAACTATTTTAAAATTAAGTATGAAACTTTTGGGCACGTTCTTTTTCTTTTTAAAATTTGAAAATTCGAAATTTTAACTTTTCTACGCACTTGTCTTGAATTGCTAATAGAAGCTAGCAGTGACATCATAAATTTCAAAAAAATGTGGGGTTGGCTCAACGCCCACGGCAAAATTGAGCACCAAAGAAGTCAATATTTATCAAACATACTTCAATATAAATCAAATATGATAACTATGACTTGCTAGCAATGGTTTTCGAGTTCGAGTCGAGTCGGGAAAATTCAAGTACTCGAGTTTTTTTCAAATACTCGAGTTTTTTCGGGTACTCGAATTTTTCCGAGTTTTTTGAGTACTCGCATGATATTTAAGTTTAAGTAATAAATAAATGATGAATTTACAGTCTCTAGACCACCTCTTGATTGGATTGGATTGGAAGAAGGAAATAATTTAATAGTACCGCACTTCATCACCTAACTTCGCTCAGCTTTGTGCAACGAACGTTGCACTAGTACTTAGTTTGAGAAGGTCGAAATATTCCTCGAAGGAATCGTAGACATGTTAAAATTTAAAATTGTTATGAAAGTTTTAAGAACAATGTATAAAATGATAAATTGGTGACTTGATTGTAAACAATGTGATCATAAACGATTTTGACATATTTCCTAGTCATACTGATCATAATTATAGTATATACAAATTAGTTTAAATATTATCTTTCTCGAAATATCAAGCCATATAATACCAATAGATAAATTTTACCCGTTCAATCTGTCTTTTATTTGAGGCACCAAAATGGATAAAAGTGAGAAGAAATCCGATGAAATTGTCTCAAACGTCAACTCAAGTGATCACGACATTGTTGTTTCAGACGAAAAAAACACGTTTGTGATAATTACAAGGAGGCGTTTGCACTTAAATCAAGCATGATAACACACCGAGAAACAATTCACTATAAACAAAATAACTTTTCATGTGACAAGCGCGAAAAAAAATTCGGGTTCCGAAGTCATTTGAGTAGACACCAATTATCAGAACAAAAAAGCAGCAAAGATTTTGCATGCGTTCAGTGCGAAAAGAAATTTGTGAAAGAATCAAGTTTGTTTACGCATCAAAAGTTGGTACACAAAGATCGCGAAGATTTGACGTGCAACAAGTGCGATAGAAAATTTGAAAATAAATCATCTTTACTCAAGCACAAAAAAAATATTCCACGAAGTTTTCAAAAATTACTTGTGTGAAATGTGCGCGAAGAGATTTAATACTAAACATTGTTTGCTGTCGCAGACGAGGGCGGTACACGGGAGTCTCAAAGATTACGCATGCAATAAATGCGAGAAGAAATTTACACTAAAATCAAATTTGTTCATTCACCAAAAGACAGTTCACGAAGGTCGCAAAGATTACACATGCGATAAGTGTGAGAAGAAATTCGGACGAAAACTGCATTTGCTTAGACACAAAGAATTAATTCACGAGGGTCGGAAAAATTTCGCTTGTGACAAGTGTGAAAATAAATTCGGACAAAAGCCTCAATTGCTTCTCCACCAAAAGACAGTCCACGAAGGTCGCAAAGATTTCGCATGTGACAAGTGTGATTACAAATTTGGAAGTAAGTCAGGTTTTTTGAGGCACCAAAAAACAGTACATGATGGTCGCAAAGATTACGCATGTGACAAATGCGAAAAGAAATTTGGAAATACTGATAATTTGCTCATCCACCAAAAGACAGCCCATGAAGGTCTTAAAGATTACGCTTTAAGACCTTCATGGCCTACGAAAATAGTCCACCAAGGTCGCAATGATTACGCATGCGTCAATTGTGAGAAGAAATTCGGACACAGATGGGTTTTGCGTATACACCAAAAGACAGTACACGAAGACCAAAAAGATTATGTGTGCGAAAAATGTGAGAAGAAATTTGGGAGACCATATAGTTTGACTAGACACCGAAAAACCGTTCACTGTGGTCGCGACAACTACCCATGCGACAAGTGCGAAAAAAAATTCAGACAAAAAGTGCAATTGCTCAGACGTGAAAAGCAAATGCACTAGGGTTGCAAAGATTTCGCGTGTGACAATCGCGAGAATAAGTGATGATTAACAGTTGTAAATATGTATAGATACTTACACATGTATTTTTCTGAAATTTCAATAAAAATTGTGCAGACATTTATTGATAATTTGGTTTATGAATTGAAATTAGAACGTAATTAGGTCATTTGGACTGATTACCTGTGTATTAATTTTTTACTACGCGAATTATATGCATCATTTTAGAAAAATTGTTTTTGTCCCAAGCTTAACAGCTTGTTTCGAAATCTCATCTAAAGTTTATCCTTTCGTCGAATGGCTGTAAATTCTTATACAGTTTGAGTTTTCACTTAAATGCTGCATATCAATAGGAAAACAAATATTTACTCTTTTTTTTCTATTCGTTCCTTCACTTTGATGACGTATAAAATCTGCAGAATCTGACTCTTAAAAATAATAAATTTTGTTCATTAATTCGACATAACTGTGTAATCTTCTTATTTATTGTCAGCTGAAGGAATGTAAATATTAAATTTTAAGCAGTCACTAAAGATTGGAAAAATTGGGATATCTAGAGTATAAATTAAAATATACAGGCTCTATTTTCTCTTAACTAATTAATGTCAGGAATATGTAACATTTTTATTCTTTATAATCATACAAATCTGTGATTAGAACATGTTTGAAAATAGCGTAAAATTTCATTTTTTACCCAAATTTATACCCAAACCACTCAGAATACTACCGAAAATAGCTGAAGGACTCGTCCCCTCTGGGGTTTGTCCTGGACGTATTTTACACACATAAACGTCAAGCACACTCTGCAAATAAAAATGTGAAATAATGTAATTAACATATTTTTCATTCCCGATTGTTAACTTTCCCATTTTAATTACCTTGCATTGTTCTATGAACTCTTTAGGGATAATACGAGGACTGCATGCCTCCTTATTTACGAACTTACGGCAAACACTTCTGACGGTCCTGGTCAAGTCTCGGCATGCTACGTCGCGATCTAAAAGAGCGTCTATGTTCATGTTCAGATATTTGGTTACGGTTTGTACTACATCTTGAGATTTCAGGCACGTTTCATGCAAAATTGTGTAACCCTGAAAAATAATTCATCCGTGCAGTGGATATTTTTTTATGCAGCAATAGGGAATACGGCTAATACTTACCAATGATTTTGTCGGCTTATCTCCGATGGTAACGTTTGTGAAAAGATCTTTGCAGATACCATCAGTTAGTATTGCCTGTAAGTTTTCAAAGGAGCATACAAAGAATTTCAAATATCAGAAACATTGATCAAATTAATAACTTACTTTGCATAATGGTTGGAAACCTTGACATATATTTTCGACTTTGAAACACGATGAGATGAAAGTTCCTTCCAAAGTGGAACTCGCCTTATCGCAAAATGCACCAATGGAAATAGGCTTGAAGGTACCTTTACAAATGTCCTTTACTGCTGAAGATAACTGAAAGCAAATTACGTTAAAAAATCAACTGTGAAACTTACAAAACTAAATTTTTAATTGTGCTCAATTACCGTAGGTAAATCGGGCTTGGGTTCGGCATCGATTTTTTTGAAGAAAATACAAAATAAAATAATATAAAAAGCTCTCATAGTAATATGAATGTTGTTCAAAATAATCTGTAATAATCCGAAATAGATCTTGTGAATAATCCGAAGTTTTCAGATTGACTGCAAGTTCAAAACTCGAAGTTTGAAAAGAATTCAATGTTTATAAATCGAGATTTCGTTAGTTATTCAGTCGTTAAAAGTGTAATTTCGTGCAATACTTTTTTTCTCGTGATTGTTTCTATTACAGCACCAATAAAACTTTATTTTAAAATTTATAAGCAGGAAACATTTTTTCACGATCTTTATAATTTTAAAATTCACAAATTTAAACCATTGAAGGCCAAAATTATATTTCTTTGAATGTTTTTAAACTGAAATATTACTGCAAACGAATCGAAAATTATAAATATTTTGATGAATAACGTATGCATTTTAGAAATTGCTTCGGATCATAACGTGTTGCATACGGCCAGGCGTGCTTACGTATTTGCAATCGAATTGTCAACTTTGAATTTACAAATACTATTGAAAGCATCGTAAGTTAAATTGTCTACATTTAATTATAATAAATAAATCGTTGCATAATAAACTCATTTAAGAGATGCCGAATGTACATCCTTTGAACTATTCATTTTCAAAATGACATAATTAAACATTCCGATGACACGCGTGACAGTTCGAAAGTAACATAATTCTGAAACACGCGCGACCAGCGTAAACAATGCCGAATTGAGCGGCCTTCATTCGTCAATTATTTTTTATGTCTCTGTTAATTAAAATCTTACGAAAATATGATTATCACGGCAGAGAAATTACCATGCACTGTCGCTAGTATGAATGAATATCTGAGAAAAGCTATAAAACTGCGGTGACCACGACTTCACTGATTTCGGGAAAAGAGCGGCCCGGGGTCCATTAGTATATGCGCGCTTGCAGGAGATGTGTCAATTATTGACCCATATCCCCAGGCGGGGATGAAGTTAAGGTGTATAAAACCTCTAGTAAAAGAGGATCGTTCGCTCAGTGGTTTCTCAAATTTTTTAAGGCGCGTATCAATCCATTATACGCAAGCTCTGCAATTTCCGATCTCTTATACGGTGTACATTCAGTCACCATTCGTTACTGTAGACTCTTAGATTTTGAATCTTTCGAAAATGTGATTAAACGTTCGTTAGTTTTTCAACGAAAAGTATTGTCCAACGCTGTACTTATGCTCAGGCAAATCGTCAGCAATGGGACTTGAAATATATTTTTTCATTCAACGGGTATGATGTGCGAATAATTCATTGTAACTGCCCGAGCAAGTGCATCTGCGTGATCCAGCCTTCATCGAGACGTCAATCAACCAAGGAACATCTGTGAGATGGGATAAAACAGTGTGAGAATGAGTGTTTGTGTGTGATATGTATAGCGACCAATGACACTTGTTAACTATGTCATAACTGCACCCGCGCCAGAAATATTGGCGCCAAAAATGACACCTGCATGAAAACTCATCAGCGCCGAGTCACTAGCAATTGGTGGCATATACAGCGGAATAGACACCAAGAAATCGCGTAACTTAATAGTATTTCCACTGGAGAGAGGAGCTGTAATGAACACCATCTTACGAGGAGCAGTAGGACAACGAGTAAATACAGAAGGAATATCCATAAGTCCGTTCCTGACAGAAAAAATCCTCAACAAGATTGCAACAAATACGTGGAACAAAGTATACTATAGCTTAGTGAATTAAAATTAACGAAAAATATTATATTGAAAATATTACATGAAATCTAAAAATACATTCATAGAAGCCTGCATAAATAGAGGCACAGAGAAAATTGTTTGACTTGACTTGGGACGTCTTATCGCACGAGCTATCCAAATGACTTAATATTATAAATTAATATTATAATATTATAATATTATAATGACTCATCCTTTGACTAATGTATAACTTATTAAGATAAAATATGTGTGAGTGTGTCAACACCATCATCGACGATTCTAAATAAAACTGTAAATTTGATATTATCATATCTATCATTTGCATATTTATTTTCATCCTCCTACAACCTGACAACAAAAACAAATCAACAAATAGTTTCTTGCCTAATTCCGACTGCGTGATCTATGCCAATATAAATAACAATCAACTCAAAAATCTTAATAATAAAATTAATAATAATCTTAATAATAAAGTTTTCATTATTCATAATCTTACAGTTCTGCGAATAAAACATATTTGAAAGTAGCGTAATAATATTTTTAAAATTATTTTGAATATTATCACTTGTAAAACTTGAAAATGCAAGATTTTAAGATATCTGAAACTTTAATTTTCACCCAGTAATTGCATTCCAAAAATCTGAAAAAGTTGGCCAATCAATTTTTCCTGGATGTACTTTACATACAAAATTGTCAAGTACACTCTGCAAAAAAAAATAAGTAATAAACATTTCAATAACATATAATTTACTACTTTTTCAATGCAAGTATTAGCCTTCCCATTTTAATTACCTCGCATGTTTTTGAAAAAGCTTTGGTAATTCGAGGACATGCCTCTTTGTGTACGAAATCAACGCAAACTCTCTCGACGTTCTCTCCCAAATTCTCGCATGCTTTCTGTCGATCGAAAACAGCTTCTATGCTTATGTTTACAAAGTCGGTTATACTTTGCATTACATCTTGAGATTTCAGACACCCTTCGCGCAAAAGGAAGTAACCCTGAAAGTTAATTTATCTGCTGCAGTCGATGTTTTATTATGCAGTAGTTACTGCTTACCAATGTTGTTGCCGGCTTATCTCCGATGGTAACGTTTATAAAAAGATCTTGGCAAATACCATTGGTCAGTAATTTCTATAAGTGTTCAAAGGTTTATGATAATAATTTCGTAGTTAACAAGGTTTATGATAATAATTTTAAACTTCTAGAATATCGATTAAATTTAGTTCCGAACTTACTCTGCATATCGGTTTGAAACCTGGACAAAAACTTTCGACTCTGGTACACGATGAAAGGAAAACTATTTCCAAAACGGAACTCACTATATCACAATATTTATCAGTAGAAATGGGTCTGAAGTTACCTAAACAAACCTCCTGTACTGCTGAAGCAATCTAAATGCAAGTGACGTTGTAAAATTGACTGTGAAACTTATAAAACTACACTTTAATATAGGTTAATTTACCGTGGGTAGATGTTTCAGCTGAGGCTCGGGTTCAGCATGGATATTTTTAAAGAAAATGAACAATAAAAGAATATAAAAAGCACTCATAATAATATGTATGCTGTCTAAATTGATTGAATATGCAAACACTCGTGAATAATTGAAACTTTCATATAACAAAACTCGAAGTTTGAAAAAAAGTCAATATTAATGAATCGTGACTTTTTTAGCTGTTCAATCGTGTACAAATACAATTAAGTGCATTATTTTTTTTCTCGTAACTATTTAAATAGCTACACCTTTAAAAATTTATTTTAAAAATTAAGTATGACGACTTTTTTGCACGATATTTATAATTTGAAAATTTACGAATTTAAATCATTAAATACCAAAAGATTAGTTCTTTGAACGTTTTTCAATTGAATTATTAATAAAAACGAATCGAAAAGTATAATTATTTCGACGATTGACACATAACTTTGAAAAATTGCTTCGGATCATATCGTGTTGCATACGGCCAGGCGTTCTTGAATAATTCCATTCGAATTATCAATTTTGAAAGCTACTATTGAAAGCATCGTAAATCAAGGTGAAAAGATTTAATTACAATCGACGAATCGTAAATTAGGATATCAGGAACAGATGCTGAACGTTCATTATTCAAACAATTTATTTTCTAAACGACATATTATATGATAACGTTCTTACATGAATTCGACGCAACATTTCAATAATATAAGTCAAATCATTTTACATTCGCACATATAAATAACGAGTCAAAAATCTTAATGAACTAATATTAAGAATTGAAAACAACTACACTAGGGTTTGTCTTTTTCGAAAAGTAATCTCACTTGGCATACACTCCCAAGAAGCTATGACAGTCCGGACAATAATGCTTCTTTTCTTGCAGATCTTTATCGCAATAGGCGCACGGAGATAAACAGCAGCAACTGCGAAACAAAAAAAAATACTTTTATTTTTACACTCCAAATTTCATGGTGACAAAATGATTGTCAAACGAACGAACCATATATAGCACAGTAACTGGGCCGCCATCCGATTCTTCCAGGAAGGAACGTTGCGAATTTCCGACATCACCGTCTTTTTGCACTTCTGACAAACGAGGCTTATTGGCTCGGTAGAATAAGTCACTCCAGGTACTTAATTTGAAAAAAAATAATTATTACAAAATTCATTCTCATTTATACTCGCTTCGACAATATTGTACATACCATGATACGGAGGATCGTCGACCGGCGTCGCGGTCAATTGTACATCCTCTTTTCCTTCCTCATCGGTCTTCAGCGGTTGCTTCTCGTCGTCTTCGAAAGGATTTCCCGCGGGCTCGTCCTCTTCCGGCTTCTGCTCGACCGAAGGCACCGAAATTTTTTCCGCTGACTTCGGTCGGTTCACCACGGGTGCGAACTCCCTCGGCGGATCCGCGGGTTCCTCTACGTCCTCGAACGGATTCACGGGTGGCTTTTCCGTTGCTTCCTCGTTGCTTCTGCTGCTGCTCCGCGCAGCGACGCCGCCGGCCTGATTCGACAAGTTTTCCGAAGAGCTCGTCCCGTTCTCGAACGGATTGACGGGGGGTTCGTCTTGTTTTTGGATCATTTTGTTTTCACTGCGCGACGCGACGGTACGATGCACACGAATGAAACTCGCGTATAAACGTAATACACGAGAGATGGTCGCGAACTGCTTAACGCACCCAAAGTATGTAATATTGGTGAAAAAAAAAGACGAACTGATAAGATAATATTGGCATTCGAGACCAGTTGCGATTTCGAGAAATTTATTTCATGTGCGAAAAAAAAAATCACACAATATCAAATGCCACCGGTGTTGAGATTCGATATATAGAAATAAAAAAAAGAAACTTACCTTGCTACTAATAGCCCGTAATTCAATTTTGACGTGATTAATCAAGCGGTATATCGTTCAAGACCATCTGCCCGAAATAAATTACATAAGAATGACCATTCGAAAATAGGATTTTGACTTGCAAGCGGTACATCTTGATTAGAAGAAAAAGAATCTCAAGCATGAGTGATTTGAAACGTAATACATCGATATCGAAGAGCGAGCGAGAGAGATAAGATTATGGGCGATTCCCCGGCATATATAAAGCACGTTGCATCAGGAAAAACCAAGTTTATTCATTCAAAAGACGTGTTCGTAGTAAAACACATTGTGTTTTAGATCGTCTCGTCTCGTATACATTATTATGAATCCATGAGAAACAAGATAGAGACAAAAAAAAAATCCTCGTATCCATCGTGAACCGGTATTTACTTTTTCACGTATACGAACAAAGAACGATCGCGAGTGACTTTATAATCTGCGATAAATAAGGCCGAAAATGAGGCCAAAGAGCAACTTCAACGAGCGCGACCTTTACCCAAAATTCGACGTCCTTTTTCTCGTAACGCGCGTGTGCTCGAAAATTGACCAAGCGCTCCTTCGGAAATATTATTTTACCTGACTGAAAAAAAAATAATAATAATAATAATAAAGACTCAAACGTTTTTTTTTTGCTTTCTCATCGCGTCCCATTCACAATATATACCTGTCAAGCATTGTAAACACTATATAAGCTCATATAGAAAAAAAAATGATTTGCATTGGCCGCTGATGTCATAAGCTAAATATATGTATACATCACCTCGTTTTGTAAATACACAAAGCGAGTCCAGTGCGAGTCTCTGTCTGTGTCTCTCTCTCATTCTCGAGCACACTCATTCACACTCGTCGTCGCACTCGGTGTGGGATAAATTAGATACTCATACACATAATATAAAATCTCGGCTGCGAATCGTCGTGAGCTTCAGTCACGAGTCGCTAGTCTTCCACGGAACACGCAGCAGCACGGCACAGAGTCGAGATATAATAATAATATTACAAAGTGAGTGATCCCAGCAGTGACCGTTTGTTTATTATTGTTTTTCTCCGTGTAACGTAAAGAGATACGAGTACTCGAATTTCATTGAATTTAAAAACAAAAAACCAAAAAAAAAAAAACAAGAAATAATTACGTTGTCGAATGTACGCAAGTGCGAATCGAGATCGGATGTGTTTGTCTCGTAGGGGTAATTCGAGAATCTGGATCGGCGAATATTGCGCGTCGAAACTACGCGTCAATGTCGATGTGCGCGCGCGCGATTAAATTATAAACACCTGCAACCGCGTATCATTTGTGAATGTGTAATCGAGCACGATTTTACTCAACGAGACGCGCGCAAAAATCGTTCGTAATCGAATCACGTCGGCGTTTAATATCTAAATAGGTCGGTCGAGTTTCGTAATTTTCTCTCTCTCTCTCTCTCTCTGCGTCTGCATTATCTGCGTGCGCACAAACATAACACAACGCTTACAATGTAAATCATCGTACTCGTTTTTCTCGCAGATCATCGCTTCGTCTAAGATGTCCAAGAGCATGAAACTGTCGGCGCTGCTCGTCCTCTGCCTCGTCGCCGCGCTCGCCGAGGCCCGCAACGACCTGGTGATCGGCGTGCGCCAGCCCAACGACTTTCTCATTCAGCGCGAGCTCGTGCAGAAGGACGCGGACGTCTCGGCGCTGGGCATCAGGACGAGCTACGAGCGCACCTTCACCGGCAACAACATCTCCAACATCACGATGATCCGTGCTCTGGACCAGCACGACAACGGCCACGGCGCCACGGCCCAGATAGTCGGCGGCGGCGTCGGCTTCAAGTACGTCACCATCAAGTTCAAGAGCGAGCTGTTCCGCGGCATCGACTTCGTCGTCGAGATCTACGGAAAGTAACGCGGATGTCTTCAGTTTTTTTTCTATAACGTAGCTCTCTAAAATATGTATTGACTTTTGATCTTTTTTTTATGTATAACGACGACGCGGAAGTTATTGATCTGAACAAATATTTGTGTACCATGTGATTTGAATAAATATTCAATTATTTTTTAAGTACGTATTACTCTGTTATTTAACGATTGCTCGAGACGTCGAGATGAATCGTACGAGAGGTTGCATACTTTCAGGCGCCAATTAACGAAAGGTAAACAATCGGTCACTTCAAAGTATTTTATTCCATTATGAAACAACCTCGATTTACCGACGACACGACATCTCCATTCATTTGTATCGAACACAATATCGAGATTTACAAGATAAACGCCACTGAATGCAGAATAATGTCTTTTGAAGCACATATATTAGCAACTCTTTGCCTCAAAGGCCCACGCGATATGGCGTAATGATCGAATGAGAAAAAAAATGAGACGATAATGAATTTTGTACGCCATACGAATTCATGCATCACGGTTGATACTCGTTATAATTGTTGTACCGACGACGAGATATAAATCACTACTACTTGCGCGCGTGCGTTTCGTTTCCTTTATGCGTGTGTGCGCATTTAATGCGATTATCAATTATAAAAACGATGGGAAAAGTAAATACAATTTTTTTTTCTCTCCGTCTCTTTTTTTTGGTACATTTAAATAATAAATCGCGATCGTCGTCGTTGTCGTTGCGTTTGTACATTTTTTATGAAAGGATTTAAATTGATTTTTTCTCAGTCACGGGCTCAAAAGCATTTTTTTTGTCTATTGTTAAAAAAAAAACATTCAATCGCTCTGGTAGAAATACTCAAAGTTGATAATGGCCCAATGACCAAAATATGATCATTCAAAATCAAGAGGTGCGATAGCACCTAGTCGGCAAAGTATAAAAAAAAATTATTAAAAAAAAAATTTTCGAGAAGAAATTTTTCAAAAAAAATTTTTTTATGATGTTTTAAATTACATTTCATTTAATTGGCTCGTTTTTTGGGGATTTGTATGTTACAATTAAGTAAAAAATATCAAGTGGATTTTCAATGATATCAAAATAGAAATGTATTTGTTTCAAAAAATGAAGACTAATTTTCGACCAGTTTGTATATAACAAAACTACTTTGAGCCTCCGCCACTAGATGGCGAGTACTTTTATTTCTGTAAATCTGCAAGTGGTAAAGTGAACATAAATGTATAAGTCTAGGCATGGTTTCTCCAGTCCTCGACGAATTTATTGTTTGTGTGTTGATTTCGAAAACGATATAATTACAATTTTATTTTTCAAATCTAGGAAAATTAAAACAAGGTTAACAAATTAAAAAACTAACGCCAAATAGAAGTAAAAAAATGTCGTTACTTTTCTATCATTTCTCTCATTAGTTCGTTTTCGGTGTTTAGTTTGCTTATTATTTTATTGTTAGCTTTCAAGTGCTTTTCAAGTTCTTTGATTTTTTCTTTAAGAAACACCACATCATGCTGTAAATTAAAATTTTAAAATTATTATATTTTTAAGATTTCATTGCAGTACTTCGTGCAACAGATTTAGATGTACTTTTTTTACAGTTTCAAAAAAGGGTCTGTAAATGTGGCAAAAAAACACTTTAGCAAATTACACTTAATCAATAAATATCCATTCGTAATGACCAAAAAACTAGCCATAAAATTTTGATATTTGATCATTTAACGAACGAAGTGATTTACACACGCGATAATCGGCTAAGAAACGCGAACCACCTCAAGATCGGCCTCGCTCGTACACGCCAAAGTTCGACACAATTGCACGTATCTACACGCCTTCGAGCACAAGTGATACGCGGGAGGTAATATTCGTGCAAAAGGCTCGCATTTAACGCAATTACAAACTTCTCGTTTTAAGTAATAATGATAGTTCGTCGAAATTTCGGGGAGCTCGACGATCCTTTACCATACACGTAGAAACTACTCGCGCGAGATATATACGTATGATATTGTAATTTTTTTCTCACACTCCCTGCAGAGAGAGAGAGAGAGAGAGCCATCATTCGCTATATATTTTGCTACGCAGCATGTGATGTATTCCGATTCAATTTTCGGCGAAAAGTTTATAGAATTTTCGGAAAATTATTCGCGAGCGCCAGGACGAAAGTTTGCAAACGCCCGCAGAGCTTTTCTATAGCGCGTGCACACACACGCACACACACACATTTATAATATGTGCGTATTATCAAATTCATAATGTATGTAAAATTTCGAGGCCACGAAGTTAAGAGTTGAATTCTTCCTTTTTTTTCTTCTTTTTTAGTTTTGATCCATTATAAAAAATTTAGATTTGGATTATGGAAGGATTAAATCAAAACGATTTTATCGTCATTACTATATATTTTGATCTTTTTTTAGTGTATTAAAGTTTTTTTTTTTCGTAAAAAAAAAGGGAGGAAAGAGTCACGCCGAATGATATACGTATATTTTCGCGTCCTCGTCGCCTTGTGTCCCTATAATCTCTAACTAATAACTCACTTTACCGAATAAAGCGAAAAATTCTCTCCTCGGCTTTTTCGCTCTTTCTCTCGCTTTCGCACAGCAGCAGCAGCAGTAGCAGTAGTAGTAGTAGCAGTGTTTTCCTGCGAGTATAGTCCCTCTCTAGCTTTGCTCTCTCACAGAGAGAGAGACAGCGCAGGAGCTCTTTTAAAGCGTCTGCGCGCAAGCTGTGTGTGCTTGCGGAGCTTTTGGCGCGCGGGAACCTAAATCTCTCGCTCTCTCGCTCGCTCGTCCTCTCTGGTCCGACGAGCCGACGGCGCGTATCAGTCGTTGGAAAAGCGACGAGCCTCGAAGCCACGGGCAAAAGTGCGAGAGGAAAGCTTGCAACGTCCGTACATACGTAGTTCGCATGTAAAGAGAGAGAGAGAGAGAGAGAAACCCCGGTGTGCTTTTACATGTATACGTAAACGTCCTGTATATATACCACATATACATATACGTATATTTTTGTGTGCTCGTGGAGAGGCCTGTGTCAGAGAGAAAAAGAGAGAGAGAGTTAGTTCAAGTTGCCGTCGCTCGAGATATACAAGGCCTCATGTCTCGGAGCAGTACACATGTCGCAGTTTCACGCCGGATTCCTTGGACTTTTGCTCCTTTATTTTCCGTTCGGTGAGTGTTTGACCATCATCATCATCATCACGTTTAATTAAAAAATAAAACAACGACAAATGAACGAAGAAATAAGCAATCTCGGGCCGCGGTAAAAGTAATTAAGCTAAAATAAATCGATTTACCGATAAGTAGTTTACAATCGGACTCACGGCATCTTACATAGCCTGTATACCAGCAAAAAAGAGAGAGAGAGAGAGAGAGAAAACAACAACGGGAAAAAGCTTCTCAAAGAGCTGACGCGCGCGCGTCGTACTGCAGCAGCAGGGTAAAAAGAGAGCTCCTTTTATGTGTCTAATAATGTATTGTTACAACCACTTCGCGGTGAAAATCTCATATAAACGCGTGTAGAGTTTTCCGCGCGCGACTCTCTTCTCCTGTTTTTTTTTTATCTCGTCCTCAACTCTCTTCTACCCTTTCTTGACTCGTAATCCTAAACTTAAATTCGAGCATAATAGTGTCTTTTCTACGTCTAGCTGTGTGTGTGTGCGTAAAGCCTTTAATTTATATACACCCGAGAGAGAGAGAGAGAGAGAGAGAGAGAGAAGAAAGAAAATTTCTTCGGTCTCATCACGTCATGCAAATAATACCAGGATGTATATAAAAAGGCCCGTCGCGTCTCTTTTCTACGCGTCTCTCTCTCCTGTAATACTCAACCCCGCTCGCGCAGAGGCGCACACGAATTACACTTCTACTCTCGAGCTGGCAAAAATTCTTGCGGTCTTTTGCATAGCGATGTAAGAAAGTACGAGGTAAAAAAAAAAAGAAGAGAGAAAAAAAATTAGGAGGATAGGGAAAATGGCTTTTCTCGTCGGGGTGGGTGGGCAATATCGCGTGGTTGAGCTGACGCGATGATGTTCCATCCCGTAGAGCAGAGCGCGCGGTATCGGATAAAGTGTCGACGTGTCTTCGCGTCTCCGCGCGCCGCGACTTTCTTATGTATAGCGAAAATTTTTTAGCGCAGCGAAAAATATAATACGAATTGTTTTCTTTAGTTTACCTCCTTTTTTTTTATTCATCGAGCTCTTTTCGTTAGGCGCAACTTTATTCTTTCGTCTTTTTTTTAATATCAAACTCGAGGAATTGTTTGCTCGAGAGAGAAAGAGAGAGAGCGAGAAGTTTTCCATCGCTGCACGTAGCCAGGAGATATTATATACATAACGCAGGAAGGGGGTGGTAGATAGAAAAGATTTTTCGGTTGATTATTTCGTTGAGCAATTGTTTCAATTATAAAGGTGAAGCTTTTTTTCCCCTCACCGATGTATAAATATCACAAACACACGCACAAGTATATACACAATATTATGTATATACACGTTGAATGTATCGCGACGCGACCGACCGAGGGGTGTGATTAAAAACTTTGCATAGTTTGTCTGTCTGTGCGTGCATATATATCTGCAAGCACAGACTAAGGCATCAGCAGTTGCAGAAGCAGAAGCAGAAGCAGCTCAACAACTCGAATCCCATTAAAACTTATTATTAGCTTCGCTTGCGATATACATATATTATTGCCTTTTGGTGTCGGTGCCGAGCAATTATCATCCTGTTGCAGTTTATATGCATACAGTCGATATAATATAAGCTTGGCAAAAGAAAATCTTCACGCGCGCGCGGTGGAAAAAAATCAAATTTACCGCTCGATTCGTATAATTTATTACAATTTTATATTTTATAATAAACATCGAATTCATCGTGCCTGTGTGTGTGCAATACGTGGTAAATCGGGGGCGCCCGCAGAAGCAACACATCGTCATCCTGATCATCATCATCAGCAGCAGCAGCTACAGCAGCTGTTGGAGGATGTACATTTGACACACTCGTGTGTGCGCCGCAGAGCGTCATGACGAATTGCGTATATTATGTATTACCGTGTATGGGCTTTTGTTGTTGACTCAACTGCGCCGCGCATTGGTGCAACACGTTACTGTATATATGAACGCCGTACGGGTATATATAGCAAGTAAGTAAGTGCGGGTATATGCCCAAGGTAAATCTAACGAA